TTGTGTTGGGGCAGGGTCGGGTGAGCTAGAAGGAACCTGTGTGGGGCAGAGCTGGGGTGGAGGGGGGGAAGGCTTGATCAAGCCATCAGCTGGAGTCCCAGGAGCTGGGGTCTCATCCCTACGCCCTGAGAGGGTGTTTGGGTAGCCCTGGGGGCAGGCCAGGCACCTCTGTGCTCCCTGCTCTCCTGGTGGGACACCGCACCGGGCACCAGGTGGTATCCACTGACATCACTGCGCTTCCCACTTGGTTGCTGAAAGACATTGTGGCTAAGCACACCCAAACCAAGTCACTGACTTCGTGTTTCTATGCGTTTCTGGAGGCTGTAGCAAATTCTGCACATTCTAAGGTGTTACTGCAGGTCACAAGATGGTTACAAAAACTACCGGTAACTCAGGAAAGTCAAGCTCAAGATAGTTGCTCTGTTGGATCAAAAAGCGCTGACATCAGGCTTTTAATAATTAGAGCGTTTAGTCTTATGATTTTTAGTGTTTAGCACATGCATATTTTTGATAAGTTTAGTGATAGTCCTGCATTTTTGGAACATTTGAGTGGTATCAGCGAATTTTGGTTTGGATCTCAGAAGGGAAGCCTTTAGTTTGAGCGACATGTTGTCTTCTCACTGGCCACACTCGCTCTTTCTTTGAATTTCTTAGAGCTTTGAAGGCGTGGGGCATTTTTGTGCATTTCATCTAAAATGTTTGCCTCTTTCCCCTCTGCTCCCCTGGAGGGAAAACAGGCATTGCTTTTTGAGAAGGCATGAGAAGGGAGAAAGAGAAATGCTTTTTTTTTCCATAGTGTTAGAGTATAAAACATACTGTTATTGAGGTATGTTCTGTTAAAAAACAAATTATTTTTATTCAACTCTTGTTATTATTTTAAAAAGTAATATTAGTAATAAATTATTAAAGAAATTCTCATGTTTCTTCCAGTGTTATACTTCCGCTCCCAGAGAATGTGAAAGAATATTTGCTGGATGATGGGACGCTTGTAGTTTCTGGAAGGTAAAGAGTGTTTTCCCCCCACCCTCCAAGTATTAGTACTATTTTTTATTCACGGCACTATTTTATATACACATATTACATTTTGCATAATGAGTTTTTAAAATTTGACCGGCCTGGCTGCAGTAAACCTCATACTGAATGGGCTGACTGTTGCTGTTAGTAAAACTTGACTTGCTGGTGCCTGATGCAGATCCTAAAATTCATGTAATACACTTCATTCTGGACAAAGTGGAGACAGTTATTTCATATTTTTTTTCTGCCTTTCCTTGTGGAGTCTACCAGTCTCTCAGGTGTGCAGCCTGCTGGTTTGTGTTTGGTTGTTTTGATACAGTTAGCTCCACTTCAGAGGCTTGACCTGTCCTGTGCCATTCACATACCTGCTGCCTTATCCAGGGGTGAAGTGAGATTACCTGAGTTTAATTCTCAATAAGATAAGCTATGTATAAAATCTAAGTAATTCTTGGGTTTGTATAATCATTTGCATACATATACTCCATGCATATGACAAGGCTGAATGCCCTGTGTGTGTGTATTTATATATATATAAAAAAGTGTGTGTGTATATATATATATAAAAGTGTACGTATATATATACACTTATGCCAAAATTTTGGATGGAGAAGAGTGAGGTGGATAGATATGAGAAGGAGTCCGTAAAAGCCCAGGCCTTGTTCTTTATTTTCTGCTTAGAATCTCACTGTATAGCTTCCTTGTAAAATGGTTATTGCATGCGTACATCTTGTTAATGATCAGACTCGGAAATCAGCCCACACTCCATCATTTCCTAACTGGTAGTTTGCCTCTCACAGAGCAGCCAATTAGGCTGTGAGTGTAAGGGAACTATGTCTCATTTCTTGGGAATCAATTTATATAAGACTGAAGCTGTTTAAACACCTTGTAAAGATGAAAGATCTTTTTTAATTTTAAAATTCTTTTTTTTAAATAAAAGATAACCAGAAAATTAGAATTATTTTTTAAACCATTTTGGATAAGAAGTAATATTGTCACCTGCAGAATTCTATAACTTGGGCACTTGTGTCGTGCAGAGTCTAGTTGGAGGCCTGTAGCTCGCAGTGTTCCCCAGGGGTTGGTTCTGGGTCTGGCCTTGTTTAACCTATTCATCGATGACCAGGATGAAGGGGCGGAGCGTACCCTCAGCAAGTTCGCTGGTGATACAAAGCCGGGAGGAGTGGCTGATACACCTAAAGGCTGCACTGCCATTCGGCGAGAGCTGGACAGGCTGGAGGGTTGGGCGACCCCGATGAAGTCCAACAAGGGCAAGTGTAGGGTCCTGCACCTCGGGAGGAACAACCCCCTGCACCAATACAGGCTGGGGGTTGACCTGCTGGAGAGCAGCCCGATGGAGAAGGACCTGGGAGTCCTGGGGGCCAAGTTGCCCATAAACCAGGAATGTGCCCTTGTGGCCAAGAAGGCCAAGGGTGCCTCGGGGTGCATCAGGAAGAGTGTGGCCAGCAGGTCAAGGGAGGTTCTCCTTCCCCTCTACTCTGCCCTGGTGAGGCCACACCTGGAGTATTGGGTCCAGTTCTGGGCTCCCCAGTTCAAGAAAGACAAGGAACTACTGGAGAGAGTCCAGCGGAGGACAACAAAGGTGATGAGAGGACTGGAGCATCTCTCTTATGAGGGAACGCTGAGGGAACTGGGTTTGTTCAGCCTGGAGAAGAGAAGACTGAGAGTGGATCTGATCAATACTTATAAATACCTTAAGGGTGGATGTCAAGAGGATGGGACCAGACTCTTTTCAGTGGTGCCCAGCAACAGGTTAAGGGGCAACGGGCACAAACTGAAACTCAGGAAGTTCCATCTGAACATGAGGAAGAACTTCTGTACTTTGAGGGTGGCAGAGCACTGACACAGGCTGCCCAGAGAGGCTGTGGAGTCTCCTTCTCTGGAGATATTTAAAACCTACCTGGACGCAATCCTGTGCAACTTGCTGTAGGTGAACCTGCTTTGGCAGGGGGGTTGGACTAGATGATCTCCAGAGGTCCCTTCCATCCCTGACCATTCTGTGATTCTGTGAACTTAGTAAGCCATTTAGTTTTTTAACAAGCCTTCAGAAAAGCTGAAACTGAGGGTTAGACTTTACAGCTATGTTATGCAAACAATTTCTACTGTCTTCAGTGGAATAATGGACAGCTGTATAATAGAAGTAAATTATATTTTTAAAGATTTAAAATCCCTTTTAAGAACCATTTTTTTCTCTGAGTTGAACTTTCGTAGCTTTCGTAGTGAATGTGATCTTCTTGCAGTCAAGGCCAAGGTGGCCTTTAGTCTTCAGTGAACTGGTATCTGACCTCTAGAGCTCGAACTGCATTGATATTTTAATCCCTACGGAAGTGTATTAAGGGACAGCAGAGACTTAGCTTGTTGAAGAGTTGACTTTTGGCAGGGATGTACATTTGAACTTACCCTATTTGCTATGCTGACTTGCTGTGAATAAGTCTTCTTCAAGAGCTTGGTCTTCTCCTTTAAGATCTTCACACTCAGTTATAATGGCTAAAGAAGTTCAAAAATCACCTAAAACTTCAAGGGAATTTCTGCAGTCAAGTGCTTTCTCCCAGATATGCTAGTGTTTACAACAGCAGATCTCACAGTGAAGAAAAATGGAACTTTCAGGAAGAAGCTGATGGCTCTGTATCCACTTTCTGTAGGGTCTTCTTTTCGATGTTCAGAGTGTGAGGACGTTTTCTTTTCAGAACCAGAAATTCACAGGTCAACATCTGAAACCCAAGTTTTATAAATTTTTACTTGGAAAAGGAGTATGGAGGCAAAGCATAAATTAAACTTGTTTAAAAAAAAAGTTTGTTTAATTTGTGCTTCTGTTGGAGTACACTGGAGTTGGAAAACAGTGATTAATAGGATGTTGAAAAGCTTCAATTATGGCGTTTTCAGAGCAGAAAGTGATTTGCTAATTTGAAAAAAGCAAAGTGTTTTGGGTAGGGCCCAAATCTAATGTAAGGGTGTTGGGTCTTCAGTTTTCTGTACTGTCTTGCTCTGATTTTTCTCTGCCAGGGGTTTTGAGGCTTAATCTTCTTACAAAAACATTTTAAAATCAACAGCTGGTAGATGCTGTGGAAATGTAATGTCTATGGTGAAGTCAAACTCTAGTGCTTAATTTTTTTTTCCTGCTAATTTTTTATTTTAGAGAAGATCCACCAAGTCATGCTCAGGAAGGGAGTGACGATGCAGAGGAAATACAGGTCAGTATAAAATGCAACTTAAGTCTCTTTAGAACAATATGAACGTGTATCCTTTTCTGCATAATTTATAGATGAGGAGAGTACTTCATAAAAATAATAATCACATGGTAGTTGCCTTGCAAAACTTAAAAACATCGTTATTTATACTGTGACGTCAGGGAAGGTTTAAAGTGTTTCTATGCTCTTTCACAGAGGACTTTTTTTTTTTTTATTTCTTCATAATTGCATTTGTAATAATGAGTAGGGAACATTGAAGGATGTTCGAATTTAACTTAATGCTGTTTCATGCCCTGAAAAATTAGAAGGAGGAGTATGTTTGGAGGAATTATTTCAAGAAATGATGGAAGTTTCTGAAGCCGTAATAGCTCAGAAGGGTATTCTAGAAGAAATACGCTGAAAAATATTGTAAGTACAAGGTTACAGAAGGTACAAAAAGGAGATGAGAAAGAAATACCAGTGAAACTAACGGATCATGGGTCTAAGGATGGAAGTGCTGGGGCTGGAGACAAGCTTTAGACAAGGAAGACTCTGTTGAGTCCTGAAATGTCGAAGTTTATGGTATAAATCACAATTGAAATATATAGGTGTCTTCTTTTATCCATACTTTAGAATAGTACTTTTGCTGAATATACGGTATTTTTCCTGTCTTAATTTATGGCCATAATAATTGGAGCATGGTGATGTTATGCTACAGGAGTTCCAGGGCAATGATTTGATCTACATGTTGTAGGAAGCTGTATGGATTCTGATGTTCTCGTAAATTATAAAGAATGTCTCAGGAAACCAGTAACCTTTGATTTGTCCTTACTTTTAACAGTGGTCGGATGATGAGAATACTACAACACTTAAGGTAAGGTCTTGTAAAAACCCAACATGAACGTGTGGGTTTGTCAGCAGTATCCTCTCTGCAACTTTGTGATATGAACTTGTTGCCTGTTAGAGTTACCTGTTGCTGTATTTGACATTTTTCAGACAATTCTAGACAGATGGCAGTGTAGATACCTGTAACTTTAAAGAAGTTTTGCAGGCTTAATTTTATTTAGCTAAAAATAAAATGCTTTTCTTCATCCCCAACAATCACACACTTGTTAGACTATAGGAAATGAACTGAAGTATGGCTCTAAATATAGCTGTCTTTCATTTTCACTGCTTTGAATATCTCCCAATTACTTAATCAGACTGGATGCAGAAGAAATGAAGCCCCTGCAGCTCAATTTTCACAGCTTTTCTCTTACACCTGTGCCATTATTTCCTCCTAAGTACATTTCTTTCTATAATTTTTTTTTTTTCCCCTGTGTTTATGCTCTTCTTGTATTGTGCCTGGCTTAGAATCAGGATCGTGATGGATGCGAACCAGGCTTCCTTGTCTTTTTTTATGTCGTCTTTGAAACCTGCTGTTGCCCTATCATTGTCAAAGTTAATATACTTGTGTCAGTTGTCTGCCATTGATACTATTACCTCATCCTGTTAGTTCCCTAATGTTCAACATAGTGTTGAATTGCTCACATTGGAATAGGTGCAGTATAAACACAGCCCTGCTTTGAGCTGTGCATATGCTAGTGCAGAACTTATAGCCTAGATTTTTAAAAGTAATGCGTGCCAAATTTGCACACAATAATAGCTTCAGGTCAAATATCTAAGCTTTCATAAAACAGATGCCTTAGATTTGTAAATTATTCAGAACAAGGATTTTGGTATCCGTCTTATCTTTTGCAAAGCTCCTGTTAATGTTGTGAAAGAAATAATACCAGACTTTTGAATCTGGTTTTGTTATAGTGTACAACACAATGAAGAGATACTTAATCAAGAGGTATGATACCCATCAGAAGGGTATAGGCCAAGTGATTTCAGTTTAGCTAGGTAAATGTTGTGTACTGTGTACGGATTGCAGCTTTACAGCTAACATTTTACTGGGGCTAACTGGCATGAAGTTAACTTCCAGCTGTTGCTGAACAGTGCTTTCGTGGTGTCAAGGCTTTCTCTTTTCCCAGGCTGCCTCGCGCCCCTCCCCAGCGACTAGGCTAGGGGTGGTCAAAAGAATGCGAGCGGACACAGCCAGAACAGCTGACCCAAATTATCTTAAGGGATATTCCATACCGTATAACATCATGCTCAGCAATAAAAGCAGTGGTAGAGGAAGAAGAGGGGTGTTTTGGCCTCCAAGGTGGCTCTTGTTCAGAGACTGGCAGGGCTTTTTCTTTCACCAAACCTGGAACTTTGAAAATGGTTACTGCTGAATGTGATTTGTGCCCATGGCTAGTTCCTACAAAAATACACCTACATTTGATCAAAGAAAGAGACTCTAAAAGTAGGCTTTCACAATGTGCTCTTTACCATCTTGTAAATTTGGTAGATGACTGCTCTGAAGACTCCATCCGTGGCAAACATGCTTTCTCTACCTGAAAACTAGGGACTGTTCTGAGACCAGTGAGTGAAGGGAAGTAGTCTCTGTGCTTATAAGTGTTGCCTGTCACCACTTTGACAGTGATGAAGAGAGTGAAGAAACAGCCTGTGTAGAATGCAGAAGGGTGGGGAGCTGCGTCTGGAGTTAGTGCAAGAGATGAGAATGGATCAAGTGGCCATGTGGAAGCTGAACAGGGAGACACTGGGAAACACAATGGGCAAAGAATAGGGGGACAGGATGGAGACTGCTGTTCTGTAGTTGCTGTCAGCCTAGGGCATTCGTATCTTACGAATGATAAATCCCAGGTTATAATTCCCTGTTGGTTTCTGGGCTCAGGGAGCAGTAAGGTGGGCTGTGGTTGTGATTATTCTGATTTGATGACCCACCTGAGTCATCAGGTAGAACTTGTTTCCCTTGCCCCTTCTATATTCTGAAGAAGAATTAGAATATAGGAACATAGAAAATTCTGTGTTTAAAAAAGCATGCATTAATATTGATGATTGCAAAGTCAGGCATTCAGAATTTAGGAAATCTTAGAATCTAGCTTGTTTGTGCAGCCTTAGAGCTATTCTCTTGTGTGTATTTCTCCATTTGTATTAATCAAATGACATGATGGTAGCATTTCCCCAGGGAGGCTTACTATGTGCTGGTGTTACGTATATAGTATGACTCCTCACTTCTTTCAAAACAAGAGGAGATTGGATCAGAATGCAGTGGATGAAGAGTTTTACTTCTTGCAGAAACAATTTCTAGAATTGACTGAAGCTCTAAAAATAAAGTAAAGTAAGAGAAGTGGTTTTTCAGGTTTTAAAGTGTAGTTTCCCATGGAGACTAGGTAACGTATGAAGGGAAGAGTCAGAATATTTGAAGTTCAGTCTAGGTCACTGCACTAAAATGTGAGAGGGTTTTTTTAAGTGTCTGCGTTTGGGGGTCTGCAGAATGGAGATGCCAAAATGTATGAACTTTTTTTGAGCACTTGTGTGGCTGTGAGGGCTTTGTTGTTTTAGAGACATCAATTAGCTTTAGCCTGGAAGTTATCTTTGAGTTGAGTTTAAAAATACTCATGCAGAAATAGTGTTCTTACATTGTTTGCTATAAATCCTATTACATGAAAAATCTTTGACATATGCCTGAAATCCTTTCATATTATTTTAAAGGTCAGCAAGTCTTATGTTTACAGTATTGACAATGTTCTTTAAAAGACAAGGATTTCTAGTCCAATCCGTACCTTTGCAGTGTGATCTCTATTGTGATGCAATATTGTTAAGGCCCTACTTTAAGACCTAGTTTAAGAGCTGATTAGTTAAAGTCTTACTAACAATGTTTTGTAAAACTAAAGCTTAAATGAGGAACCGTCTCTCAAATTGCCTATGAATTAAGGTATTTACTTTTGCTCTCTTGCTGTGCTCCTAAATGCAACTAGATAACTACTACAAAACAGAACTGATCTCTTTCTACCTTTTAATACTTTGACAGAATGCTACAATGTTTGAATTTTAGATTTTTTTAAAGAGATGCTTAATTCTGAACAAAGTATTTTTGAAAGTTTGTTTTTAAATCTTCTTGGATCTTATTTGTAGACAGTAGTCTACCATCAGGTATAAAACAACAGGTGTGTATTTAAGGTCTGTTTATTTGACTTGCGCATTTGCCAGCTGTTGCAACTTTCATGATGAATGTTAAGAAATTTCAGGCTTTCCCCTGAAGTTCACAGAATCTTGCTAGTAATGAGAGTGAGAACTGGAAACATATTTTCAATTTTCTCTGATTGGAAGAATGTCGGAGTTGATTCTGAAGTGATTTATTTCTACAAGGACATCATTTTTGTGAGGTTCTTGGTTCCTGATTTTGGACACATTTATTCCTTTACAATATGTATTTCTAATAGTATTTAGAAGATGGCTGTACTTTGTATTGAATATATTGAAATGGATACTTTTGTTGTTGTTCTTTGTTCAGGCACCAGAATTTCCTGAGTTCACAGCTAAAGTTCAAGAAGCAATAAGTTCCTTGGGTGGTAGTGTTTTTCCTAAACTTAACTGGAGTGCTCCAAGGGTAAGAATGCTGACTCCCAAAACTCGTAACAGATATTATCATAAGGAATTTTTTTTTTTGTTTTATTTGTTTTATCTTAATGCATTGGAAAGTAGAGAAGAGTAGTGGTTCTGATGAAGGAAAAAGTGATAGACAAGATTATCAGTGAAGTATGATACAGTAATTGTTCTGGTGGATTAGAACTAGATGGTGCACTGTTCGGTGAAGCTGATGCAAGACAGCATTGGCTTTCTTACATAAAACCCTGTATCCTTGTCACAGATAACAGTATGATGGTCGGACTCTTCTCATTTAGGATACTAGTTGAAAACTTTTGCCTGGGATAAAGATTAAAAACCCCACATTTTTTAAAAAAGCAATGAACTTCCCTCTGGTTATTTTTAGGTACTCTAACTATACCTTAAGGATGGGTGCGCCCGAATGTCTTTGTCTAATATTCTCAAGGGAAACTTGTGCTCAATCAAGCATTCCAAGAAAGTGCCTGGAAGCAGTAAGGCAAAACCTTATTTTTTTAAGTGGATTTGCTCTGCTTTCAACAGAGTATTCGTAAGAAAAACAATAACTGTTGTCTCTCTTGTAACAGCTAATGAAGTTTTCCTCAAAATAAAAAAATATTTTTCTGCGTGTATTTCAAACGTTGCGTAATATTTAGATAGATCTGCAGCTTGCATTCCTTCGTGCTAGTAAAGATGCATTTTTGGATAATCTCCTTTTTTGTTTAGGATGCCTACTGGATAGCAATGAACAGCTCTCTGAAATGTAAAGCTCTCAGTGACATCTTCCTCCTCTTCAAGAGTTCAGACTTCATTACTCGTGACCTCACTCAGCCGTAAGTAGATTTCTAGCAGACAATCTTATTTCTATGCAGTCAAAAAAACCCCAACCCTCTGAGAATAACTTTTCAATTATTTTGAAAGATCCTACTTTTTACTGTACAGTAATGATAAATATCTGAGACAAAAAAATACATAATTGTGTTTAAAAGTTATTCTGGTACAGTAATATAAATTTCAGGTACAGTAATTAGTTAGTTGTTCTTTGAAGCTCCCCCCACCTCTTCCCTCCTTCTTTGTCTCCCTCCACCGTGCAAAAATAAATGCCAGGTCCAATTGTGCAGAGAATTGCAAGGCCAGTTATCTTCATTCTTACTTACAGTGAGTGAGTCTTTCCTAGTAAACCAGAATTGTTTACCTAGCTTCAGTCAACAAGAGAGGAGCAGCCACCATTTTATTCTTATGTTAATTCTCTTGATTTTAATATGCAAATGAGTGAAAAGCAATACAGGAAGACATTATATTGAAGTAGTACATGTGAAATGACACTATGGACCAAGACCGTTTTTATGGAGTTGCTTTCCAGAGCAAGTGATGTTTTAATCTTGGGTTTTTTTTCCCTTCCCATGCCTCTTGGTGTTTACCTGTTGCTCCCTACCTTATTGTTGGCATTTCTCATGGCAATACAGTGTGACTTTGCCACGTCCCATTCAAATTTTGAAGCTGTTGAGGTTTGTGTGGCTGCCTGGAAGATGCCTGAGACTTCTGCTAATGTATTTCTAGAGCTCCTTCTGAACCCAAGTTCTTGTAGCTCTTGAACAAATGTGGTCCGGGAACTGTCACTGGGGATAATAGTTGCAGATGAAATTATGAATACAATGTGCTTGGGGTTTATTTTATCTACTCACATGAAGAGAGTACTTAATTGTATAGGAACAGTTTCCTCCTGTAGTACCTGTATCTGATTCATGTCACTCATTTCCAAAATACAGCCTTTTTCTGAAAGAAAAAAAAATATTGGAATTTAATGTTCTTGTTACTATTATTACTATTATTTTTTTCAGAAAAGCAGAATTTCAAAGAAAAAGGGCAATCTGTGGCTTGGTGTCCGAGAGATTGTTTTCCAGTAATTATTCAATGCTTATTTATTTTACTGCAATATTTAGGAGACTCAGCCCAATGCAGGGCCCCTGTTCTAGGTGCTTTATAGAGGGTTACCAAGCATAATAGTCCTGTGTTAAGTAGCTTAAGACCTGATAAGAGTTTTCTTGTCTAAAATGTGAAACCACTTGCATTAATGCTGTGCAAGTGCCTTTTTTTTATTCCTGCAACTCTAGTAACACTCCCCAATTTGTTGGTACATTAAAAAAAATGATAGGTAGCAACATCCTCATAACTCCCCAATTTGTTGGTACATTAAAAAAATGATAGGTAGCAACAACCTCATCTTTATCTCTGCATTTATGGAGTGCTAGCAATGCTGTCATACCAATTCTGATGCTAGGTTTTACTTTATGTCTAACCTACAGCATTACAAGGTGCAAGGGAAGAGGCTGAGAAGGAGGGGAGAAGTTGTTGGAAAATTTAAAAAGTGTGTTGGATTAGGGAAAAAGTTGTGAGCATTGAGCATTCATGATTCTGGGATCATAGAGAATGAAAGGGATGGGGGAGATGAGAAATCTGTAGTTTACATTGCAGAGGTGAGTAAATAGTGATTCTCAGAAGACTTTGGTGCCTTACTAAGGAGCTTTTTTTTTTTTTTTCATGGTTTCCCTAACATGAGGCTAGGTGACTTGGCCAGGTGTCTCGAGGACGGTTTGCTCAGAGGGTTGAGCACTAAAATTTAATGTGTCCTTTGTTGTAACTGCTTTCAGGACTGGGTCTTGTGGATCTGAAAAGAAGTGTACACTTTGTATCATCTCGTTGTGAATATTAAATGTGGTTTTTGTATTCTACTATCCTCATGTGTAAAGATTCAGCAAAAAGTACCCCTAGCTCCTTGGAGAATTCCTGTTTGTTTAACTGCTTTCTGATGGGTTTGAGACACAATGAAGTGTTTAGCATGCAGCACTTTATTTAGAAGATGTGACAACTCTCTGTGTGTGTTTGTGCTCTTAGTTTATGCCATTTGTATGGTAGAATGAGTTGGTTCGACCACCTTCACCGAGACCAAAATCAGTGCATTTTTTGTCAGGTTTTATCTCGTATCAGATAAAGTTCATGCCTCAGCTCTTCACCTTGCCCTCTGCAGACAGCGCTGACTGAGTGGGAGAGGCAATGAATGCATTCTAGCTGCTATGTTGTGAGATTTCACAGCATGGGTGATAGCTTGAACCATCATAATTTCACCTTGAGTTCACACCAGACTGAGAACCGTAGTGGCTGAGCATGTTGCAGGCATGCTCTCTTCTACCGATCCTGACGTGGGAGAATAAGCTCTAGCAGAAAGACACCACCTCAGATTGCGGTAGTCCTTTTCCAGTGTGATAAGACTGTACGCATCACCAGATAGCACGGCTCAGCTAGTGGGTAGTAAATAAGCAAACCTTGTTACAAGATTGTGGAATCATCACCTAATCTAAAGGTTAAGTTTCATTTGAGAAGTGTATTTATTTCCCTTCCTATAAAGTCTAATCTAATGTTGGTATAAATTTGGGTTATGGGGGTCTTGTTGGCAGAACAGGCTTTGTTGTTTTGATAAGGTAGAGTTAATAGGGGCTGTGCAGCCTTGCGGTTTCTTTGAATTTGGGTGGGAGTTGTGCTTATGGCTAGGGGAACATGTGTAATGTGTAATCATTTTGGTCTCTATGTATCTCATGTTTTATGAATATACTGTACTTGATTAAAGCACATTATTATTGTCCAGTCTGTACATGGTATTTCTAAATTACTAAGTTATTTGTACAAAATGTCCCCACCCCAACAGTGAAATGATTATTGCTGAATCATAACAGTGGTCTTCCTTAATTATACTATTGATTAGCTGCCAGTTCCCTAGTCCTTAGCAAGCAGAAATTAAAAATGTAGCTGGCATAAGAACCTGAAGTGCTGAACAAGTGAAAATTGGATACATAATAGATCCAAATCCCTTGGAAGGGCTGCTAAGAGGGAGGATAAATGCACTATGTTGCTGTTTCTTTCATTAATACTCAGTATAGTCTAAAAGTTTCTTGCCCTGCATAAGAAACAGATGAAATGTTGTATACTTTCTTTTTTTGTTTTGGTTTGTTTTCTGTTTAATTGTATTAACTTAAAAATCTACTTAATGGGTTGTAATATGGAAAAGACTTTGCAATGGCAATTTGAATATCTTTTTCTTAATCTAGCTTTGCCAATGGTGTGGGACTTAAGGCACTTTCTTTGCCTCTTCCTTCTTCTCCCATTTCCTATCTGCATATCTAGTATCAGTCTATACATTGTTCGGCTCAGGGAGCTGCCCTTGCTCTACTTCTCAACTGTCTCCAGTTCTGAGAAAACCTCAGCTATGCAATACTTCAGTAGAAGCAGTTAAAAAATATGGCCCTGATGCTGAGCATGACTAGATAAGCTTCAACTATTTTAAATGTTTGGATTCTCTCATGATGTTGACACTTTGGTTGAAAAGTTCAGAATAATTGGTTAACTTTCCTCCTTGTTACTTTTGTATAAATTAACAGAGACTTCAGAGTGATGCACTTGTTAATGTAGTTGTAGTTTCTGCTTCAAAGTAAACATTGCATTTTACTTAGCTGTGCTCACAAAAAAAAGATGTGATCCTTAGCTTTTCAGGTTTTAATGTAGGCTTTCAAAAACTTAGTGTTGTGGATATGTGATTTTTAAAAAATCCCTTTCTAATTGAGATTTATGTTAAGTGATTAAAACTCCTCTTTTGAACGAAAATCCTTTCAAAGCTGTGTTGAGTGTATTGGTTTAGAACACTGTACACTATTTTCTTCCATATTGTTAGAATGTGTGGACTACATTTTGTTAAGACATGATTGCCCACCTTGAGACTGGTATAAATATTAGCAATATTTTTAATCACTTGATAATGCCCTTTGAATTATAACATAAGCTTGTTGTTATATCATGCTCATTAATAAACCTTGGAAATTTTGTCAAACCTCAGAGATTCTTCCTGTTCTACAGGACAATACTGGATGTTTTAAATCTGCAGATGCTACTATTGGGATTTTGAACACTAAAGTGTTGTTATTTTTCCAGTTGTTAAATGATCACAACTGTAGAGGTGAAATAAGAAGTCCTGTAAGTTCAGCCTCGTTGAAAAGCATCCTAATGCAGAGAACCTCTTTTGCAGGGATCGCCCTTTGACTTACTATAGAAGGGCAGTGTGAATCGCGTGCAAGAATGACTGTTTTCTGATGTGCACTGAAATGTTGTAAATTGACTGTCAGTATTTTATCGGACCAGCGGGTGCTATGGACCTGTTACTTCCAGAAGTTCATTCCTGAAACCTTTTCAAGAAGCTGGTTAGATAGGTGAAGTAAAGAGTCTAAAAGCAGCCAAGTGACCCCACCTAAGCCCAGGAAACAGAGTGAAGAGATCATCTATGCCACATTTAGTAGGTAAGAAACACCTACTAGGTTAATGGAGCAGGTGAAACAGCTCTCACTGGACCAAGAAAAAGTTTCCAAATTTACTAATGTGTGAGATACAAAGGAACATGAGGGGAGATGCGTTATTTTTTTTATTTAGGTGTTTATAAGAGGGCTTGGTTAAAATTTAAGTACCTGTTTCTGAGAACAATTGAGAAAGTCTAGTCTTGAGTGAGGTTTAGCCTATCAGGCTCCTTAGCAGATTGTGTAACTTTAAAACCTAGCAGATGTTTCAGTCCTTTTTGTTTTTAAGCTAGCATTCTGACTACATTTTTGATACCAGACTTAATGCTTCTAAATATCGAATTGCAAATTATAAAGAAACTATAAAGCTTTTCAGAGATGTGGAAGAATTAACAGCCTGTGTTCTAACAGAACATAGGAGGCAGTGTGGGCTCATGAAAATGTGACTTGGCACTCAGGATATCTTTTTGCAAGAACGGTAGCTGCTGGTTTAGACTTTAGTATAACCTATTTCGAGGTAGACAGTTCCACATGAGAGGATGTGGAAAATGAGGCCTTTGATTTATTTATTTTTTTTTCCCTTGAAGTTTTACTCGCATCTCATTTTTCCTAGTAATTTACAGTGTGGTAGAAGATCTTCTTTTGAATGGTGCCTGAATTTTCTATTTCTTTTAGTCCTTAAAGTTCCAGCAAGGTTCAATATTCAAGAAGTAAAGATGCAGTTCAAAGGCTGTTAGAAGCTTTTCCTTGATTTTTTTTTTTTTTTACTTTATTAAGGTTTTAAAGTAAAATATGAGATGGTAGCAAGGGAACTCTCTGGTGCAGAATAACTTCTACAATTCTCATTATATTCATAATAGTTTATTATCCACAGAATAATCTCAGTGATTTGCAAATGAGATCACGGCACTCTTAGCAGGATGGGTACTGGAGGTCTTACAAGCCTTCTTAAATTGCTTTTCTAAGTGTTGAAAACTGAACCACATAATGGCTTCATGTAGTGTGTCCGGTTGTCAAATGTATGCTTTTGGAGATTAACATACAACTGCTACATATAAAGAGACCTTGATCCTTCTGTTCTTGACATCAAAGTATAAATCTGTAAACAAGCTATTGACCACAGCATCAGGCCTATAACCGGTAGAGTTTAATCCCTTCACCCTTAGTAGCATTCAAAATGACAATTTTCAAAGGCTTCAGAAAAGAGAGCCCAGGTATCTCTCAGTTTTGGGTTCCTGAAGTCTTTGTGATTGTTCTTTCAAATACCTCCAAACCTGAATAGGATGCAGGTTAAAGAAACCCCACTTAGCCTTCTGCCTCTTATGATCAAAAGGCCGTATGTAGTAGACAAATTCAACTGGGTCTGAACAATTAATGCTACAATAAGTTCATAAAAAATATAAAATTGCAACTACCTCAAGTTGCCCCAAATTTACCCCCCAAAAAGGGGTGATACTAATGTCCTTTTGTTGACAAAAAACTTATGATGTTATTTAAAAGGAAAATGAGACTACAAAAACCTGAGTTTATTTTGTGTTTCACTGTATTCTCCCATTTTTCCGTATTTGTACTCAGTCCTGTGTCATTAAGGCTCAAGAAAAATAACATTACTACCTCTTTTTGTTAATGTTCATCATTTTGCCTATTTGCTTGATTTGGCAGCAATACCTGAGTAGTCTGTGTGGCTTGGGGTGGCACCCAAGGATTTCATTTTCTGACTTAGAAAGAAGGAAGAAGTATCTTTCCCCACATAACTCTCACCTAAAATATTTGAGGGTTGAGCAGGGGATAATTTTGATTGTTCATAAGGCTGTTTTTTGACTGCTGGAAAAGACTGCATGTTATTAGAATGAGGCAGATTGCAGGTACCCTGACCTCACCTATGGAAATCTGTGAGAGGTAATACAGGTCCTAGTGTGCAGGGACTGTAAAACTCCATGTGCTGGACTTCAGCTGCCTTCTTGTATATAGTTTATGATCATTTTTGTGGAGGGGGTGTATTTTCTTGAGCATGGTAGGCACATATGCTAGTAAGGGAGGAATTTTGAGTCTAGCAAAACTGCAAGCTCTCGTAAGTTTGTTTCTATTGCCTTGACAGATCTTAAATTGTGGGAAGTATAAACTGTAGTTGAAGGATGTTATCTGTTTACATAGGCTTACAGATATATAGGATCTGTTTGATTACAGTACTTTTGGAAAATATGCCTGCTATCACCCTTCTTTTCTGCATGTAGCGGATATTGAAGTCTAAACTAAAATGTGTGAAATTTATTTCTGCTGGCGGCATATTGAATGAACTCTTTACGATAGCTCTTCACTTCAAACCAAAGGCTGGGCAGCCATGTCTTACAAATGCGATGCTTGTATTAGAGATGTTAGACTTTTGGATCGCTCAACCAAGTTCAGCGCCAAAGGGAGACAGCATAAATGTTGCCATTTAAGACTATTGCTCAGCAGTGACCATTTACACAGTTCTGTGCATCAAAGTAGAATGTTGTCAGTAAGGTCAGGGAGTGAACTTGGAAGGAAAATGCATGTTTTGCTAATTCCCTTTGAAAGTTACAGGATTTGCTGTAAAATGACAAAAAGATACATAGAAGTTGGCTTGGGTATTACTGCCTCCATTCTTGGTAGTTCCTGAAAGGTGACACACACAGTCAGCTACTCATAAGGGACAAAACCTTGACATCTACTTGCGGTTGTGGAAATAGTTTTGTTTATTCCCGCTCTCAAGAGATTTGTAAGACTATTTGTTAAGGCTCTTAATTTAGAAAGATGGCATTCTGTGGAATCAAAAGTGCCAAGTGGTGCTGTTTTGCATCCCTTATTCATGGAAATGAACTGCTGTAAGGCATGATGATGTGTCTCTGTTGTGTGGTTTAGGAAGTTAAACATTAAAAGTACTAGGGAAAACATGCTGCAATGAAACTAGATTAGATTGCTCAAGTTTGTCTGGTTCTTTCAGAATCTAGTTATGCCAACATAGCAATAAAGAGGAAAGGAGCAGCACCACTTATTCAAACAGAAAAAACTCAACAATGAATACACACTCACATTTTAACCATGGCCCTGTTCAAATCTAAGTGCTTCCAAATTAGACTACATGAAAAGAGGTGAATTGTCAAAAGGAGGTTTGTTACTGATGTATTGAATTTACTTGTTTTGTATGTCTTGGAGAGAATTTAACAGTAGTTTTCGTGATTCACAGTTTAGGGTGTTTTTTCTGACTATGGCTAAAATCTTATATGTAAAAGCAGATTTTGATGCCTGTGCCTTACTTTTCCAGATTTATTCACTGTACTGATGATTCCCCTGATCCTTCCTTGGACTATGAGGTAGGACTCTTTGCATGATTTCTAGATAATTTAAACAAATTGCTCACAGGCAGGGTACCATTCGTGCTTGGATATGCGCCCATAAAATTTGTTTGGTTTATTTTAATTGTGTTGCTTGGGCAGTGTGGGGAAGTCTGGTTAAGCACTACAGGTCATAATTTAATTGCAGATCAGATGAGCTAAAGTTCAGGCTTTTGAAGCTTCCTTGCAATTTCCTCTCCTGTCTGTCAGGTTTTGCCAGGAAGGACAAATTCAATAGCTGAAAGTTGTATATCCTTGATGGTATGCTGCTTGTGAATATCACAGCTGAGGTTACTGAGAGAGAAGCTAGCTGTAGTGGCTGGGGACATCCTGAACTGGTGGTCTGTCAGATCTTCCTTCTTTCATATGCTTGTTACCAGATTAAAATGTTAAGCTAGTGATGTAGATATTAACAATGCTTTAAACTGTTCATGTGGTGCTGTTGCTTTTATGATAGCATCTAGTAATTTCTCTAATAATAGTTTTTGTGTAAATACAGCATTTGTCATCATCCTGTTGGCTTAAAGGACCTTAGAAAAGTGGATTAACCCTTTTTTTTTTAAAGCACTATCTAAAGTGCTTTAAAGATACAGGATGTCTGAAAGTTGGAACAAAGAGTTTCATGTTTACACCTTAGTTAGGAATGTCATCTTTGATTACTGAGGTTTTTCTACTGCAGTTGGTAGGTGGTGTGAGTTTCCAGTATCCAGTAGCAGTAACTGAGGCCTTCAAAATAATGGATCCATCTGAATATTTCAGTTTAAGAAGCACAGAAACTTGAGACAGTGCCAGAGATATGCTTTAATTACCAGGCAGTCTGTCCTATTGACTATAATAGTTTGGTTACTATTTTTATCCTGTGTCCTTATTTTAACTGGTTTGCGCCTTCAAAGGCGTCTCAGAATTCTGCTTGGGCGTATACCAGAATAGAGGTTGACTTGGTTAAATTTAATTCTGCTCATCAGCTCTTTTGACTAGGGAGCAACTTTCTGCCAATTCCATGACAGATTGTTGTATTGTACAGCAGGGTTTTTGTTTTCCATGCTTTATCATTAATGTAACTTCAAAGTTGTTTCATAAATAATTTCACAGTTATAAATGCTGTACAAAGTGGAAGAACATAACATAATTAAGGTGGGAAGGGGCCTCGAGAGGTCTGCAGTCCATTGTCATGTTCAGAGCTGGTAAGCAATGAGATCAAGTTGGGTTACTTGGCATTTTATCAAATCTGGTCCAAAAACCCCAGTGGATGGAGGCTTCGCAGCCTCTATGAGGGAGCTATTCCAATGCTTGAGAGTCCTCCTGGTGAAAAAGTTTCTTGTGATGTTCAGTCTGAACCTTTCTACTTTAAACTAGTTTGGACTAGATGGTCTTGAAAGGTGCCTTCCAACCGAAAGCATTCTGTGATTCTATGAAATTAATATTAAAGTCTAATTGCTTTGAAGCATTTGCTGAGATGATTGTGTGAACTGCAGGTTAAGATTGGTTTGTTTTCTTGTATCCGGAAAAACTTCAGAGGTCATCTTACCATTACAGCAAGACTGTAGATATAGAAGGTATACCCACTGACAGAAAGTTACCTGTTACGTTTCTGAAACAATACTTTGTCATTTGTTTTTCCTCTATAGCTTGTTCTTCGCAAATGGTGTGAACTAATCCCTGGTGCAGAATTCAGATGCTTTGTCAAGGAAAACAAGCTTATAGGTATGGATTTTCTTAAAGAGAAAATTGTTAGGCGAAATTCTTAGGAGTTTCTCCGATTCCTTGAATCAGAGCTAAATCTGAAGACAGTTCTTTCTTATCACACCTCATTTCTGGAGCTAATGTTTTCTTCTTCTTTCTGTAATTTAAAATGTGGATTGCCACATTTCTCTTTCCACTGGATTTGAAAGCCTGGCAACACAGCATGCACAATATTACAGTGGGAATATTCTTAATTCTAATTACTAATTCAGAAACTTCACCCAAAGGCCGCTATATAAGTGATTCTTTTATATTCAGGAGCGAATTGCATAATCTCCAACTTGCAGAATGAATACAGAGGCAGTTGAGTATTATGGTGATAAAATGTGACCATTATATGCAGAAAGTTGGGGAGGTCAGAACACGTCCAGCAGTGTATGAGGTGTCTTGAGTTCATATTATATTGAGTGTGGCTTAGTTAGAAAACCTGTTGATCTGTTACTCTGGTTCAAAATCTTAAATGTAAAATGTTTCAAGTGGCACTGAACTTGAAGCTAGGGTATACACAGCAAGCAAAGAGCTGGTGAGTGCATCAGGAGACCTGTGACAGCTGGAGGACAGGCAGGTTGTGCTAGAACATGTATTTTAGGCAGCTCTAGGGTAAATTTAGCTGAATTATACTCCTCTGGATGTATTGACTATTATCTGCTGACTATAACAGGAGCTTAGACATCTAGTGCACATACAGGTGCTTGCTTTGAGGGGTTTAATTTTAGGCTAAATACTATTCTGGAGTTTGAATTGGTTTCTGGTGTGATCTACCGTGGAATCTTCAAAGATGAACAGACAGGTAAATAGCACAGGACTGGTGCATATTTGTCCTTAACAAGATTGAATCATTCTGCCTAATGTCTTCTAACAAGGAAATGTTATAGCAGTGGTGTAGCAAAGCTGTAATCCAGACTTTATAGGAAAGAAGGTAATTTTTTGCTCTAAAATAAAACCAAGTTTGCTCATTTTGTCTGTCTCATACCTATGTATTCACAAGCACCAAGACACGTATATAGAAGTGATCTGTCCAGGATTCCTTGTGATGATATGGAAGGGAAGGGATTTTAGCTAGATAGTCTTCATTGTTTCTCCTGGCTGCTTCTCAGCATGGTGACTATGTGCTTCTTTTGGATGTGCCTTTCTGTGCCTGTTAGGAGCAGTCAGCAATTTGTCACTCCATCATGTCCCACCTCTGCGACTCATTAGGAACGTACTCCCTGTTCTTTGTTTCCTGATCTGGGTGTCCTGTGGAGCTGCACATAGATGTTTTGGGACGTGCTAATCTAGGTACTGTCAACACATACCGTTCTCATAGCCCTTTTATTTGGCTGTTCCTTCTGGTGCTTCTACGCTCATCTTCCCATTCTCTCCGCATTCATACCAATTGGAGGGTTTATTACAGTTCTCTGTAACAGACTTTATCTTGCTAACAGCAGAGATTCTCCATTAAGACAGTACTGCTTAGTGGCTACTGACACAGCTTTTTGAAGGGAGAAGAGCGGAATCCTGTCCTGTTACGCACTGCTGGAGTACCACAACTGCCAGAGATCTGCATCACTGTAATAACCTCTAAAACATTTGAATGTGCAGTTATTATAGAATACATATTGTGATATTTACTTTCAAATACCTCAAAGCATTTATACACTGGCTAGTTAAACACTCTCTATGTTTCATTTCTGTCTACTAGATTTTGAAACCTAATAGATCTACCAGTACAGATTTATTTTTTTTTTTCAGCTAGCACTCCAGCTGCATTTCTGAAGACAGTTCCAAGATTTTTCACAGTATGTTCCTATGCTCTTAAAATTAATAAGCCTGTCAGTCAAACTAAGGAGTGATACTTACACAGTGTAGTGAATGATTTTCCAGCTATACATTTGCATCCCCTGAGATGCCACCGTCTCTTGGTTTTTGTTTTTAGACCTGTTAAGCTTTGCAGTGGTATTAATAATTCAGAGTTCCACTGACATCATAAACTTTTATATCAACTTTTTTAAAGAGGCCGTCTTTGGAGGTAGTCAGCATTGTCTTACAGTAAACTTAATTTCTGTGTTTTATATATGGTTCAAACAGCAAACTGCCATCATTGATACATCTTTCTTGGGGGATTCTGTCTTTTTTTTTTTTTTTAAATAGCAAGAATTACTCATTCTGCAGTGATAGGGCAGGTCTTGATTTGACACTTATTCAGCAGAGTATTGCAGTAGCTTATGTTGACACATCCTGTATGAGAACTTCTGTCACTTGAGATGCATACAAGTGTATGATCCTGTTGATGTCAACTTAAACTATTGTCTTGTACACAAACAAATGTCTGAAATTAAGAGTTTGTGATGTAGCTGGGATAGTTTATCTAATGTCAGACATGCAAGAAAGCCCTCGAGGGGGCAAATGAGAGAAATAAGGTACCAGTCTGCATGCTATCTCATTGATTTTAGGATTTCGGGTTTCACTTGTAGTGCCTTATCAAACAGGTATGCATTATTCCATGCTTAAAAAATCAGTTAAATGAGAGTCTTTGTGGTATGCTAGGATCTATCATCTTTGCTGGTATGCAAGCTTAGCCTCTACCCATTTCATTTCATGGTTCCAAATTCTTGTCCCTACATCTGATGTGCAGAACAGAAAAGGTTTTTGACCAGAGTAACCAGAGGGAATAAAACTGAAAGGAAAAGACAGGAACTGGAAACTTAAACACAGGCAAAGTTTCCTCCTGAAGTTAACTTAAAAATAGTCAAAGCATGTACATACAAAATGAGGTTCACAAAATGTAGGACAGAACTGTTCAAGGAGAAGATTGCTAATGGAAGTGTTAAGTATAGGAGAATAAAGCCAAACAGTAAGTCATTGGTAATGGTTTAAACTTGGGAGAACCCCGTCTTCTGAAATATAAATTATACCATGCATGTCTCTGATAACTGCATTTTATCTGGTTGGGTTTTTTGCATGCCTAAAGCTCTTTATAATCACATACAATTATTGACAGGTATATCGCAGAGGGACTACACTCAATACTACGATCATATCTCTAAGCAACATGAGGAGATCTGTAGATCAATACAGGAGTTTTTCAAGAAACACATACAGTATAAATTCTTGGATGAAGACTGTAAGTATCTTAAGGCTTCAATTAGCAAGGGGAGCATGGGGGAAGGAAAAAGGATGTTTATGAAGGTTTTTAAATACTTATTGCACACATAGTTACAAAGACTTAAAAACAGAAATGAAGGGTCTACCTCTTTGAAGTTCTTTTGCAGGGTAGTGGGAGGTCTGAAATTGAAAGGGCCAGCAGGGCAAACTTGCTAGAAATGAAACCTGTCCTCCTGCCTCCTTGCTGTTGCTGAGCCAGACTCCTTTCCTCCATAGTGCACCGAGTTGTGATGTGCTAAATTCCAATTTACTCCTGGAGATCAGTGTTAAAACAGAAACTTCTCAATAAGTAATGGCATCCCCAATATTTTAAGCCTGATACACATCTCTCTCTTCATAGCCATTGCTTTCACAGGGCTTGGTTCTTTTTAACTTGGGAAAGGCTTATAGCTCTTGTGGCTAGAGCATGCAGAGCAATGTAGTTTTTGAACGACTATAAAACTGGCAACAAAAAAAACCTGAAGGAATAGGCTGGAGCTTTTCAGGAAGACACAATGAATGAGTGAAAGATCCCATCAGGAGGCATAATGACTTTTTTTTGTTTTTGAGGCTTTTTCCCCTTATACTTCTTTTTAATTAAGAAAAATTCTAAACCTGAGAAGTGAGGTAGGAAATGCTTAACAAAAGGCATTCAGTTATAAGAAGAATACTTGTTTAGAAAGATGTTGTCAGATGTTTGCTGCTAAATTATTGATGTATTCCTTTGTAAGTTTCTTTTCAAGAAGTGATAATAATTTCTCCTAAAATATTGATGCACAACAGTTTAGCTGCTGAAACTTTTGAATAAAGGCCACAGTATTTGATATACCTAAGAAGCCCAGGTAAATTATCTTGTTCTTTAAACGTACTCATTTTTTTGGAAATAGTTTCCTGACATGGTTTAGTGAGAATTGAATAGTGTTCTGTTGCGATAGGTGATCAGTGGTGGTGAAAAATATGATGGAGAAATTTAAATTGGGTCTGATGTGGACCAAACCTCAATTTAGTAAAATACATAAACATAAGAATCGTCTGGCAGTTGCATTGTCTTCTATAAAGCTTTGAAAACTCAACCTTTAGGTAAGTTCTGAACGTGGTTAATTATTTTGCTGAGCCACCAGAGCAATCAAATAGATCTGTCCTGTCTTTCTGAAAAAGATACATTCTAATGCCAGTCTCTGTTATATTAAAATTCTTAATAATTTGACTCTGCGGGTTTCCTTTATTTCAGTCCAAAGTTCTCAAGGACCACTGCTTGGAGAAGACTAGTAGTCTGAAAATCAGTGTACTAGTTTAATAGGTCCATAGCCCTAATGTTCTGAAGTAAGAATAGTCGTATAGATCTGACATTCTGATTATGGTCTTTTAATTTTCCTCTGTGTTCCAACATAATTTTAGCTGGTATGTAATCAACTGATAGATAAGAATTCAGGGCACTATTTTTGGAAATTGATGCCCAGATTTAGGCTCTGAAACTGCTGTCTGGTGAACTGAAAGGTCTGAAGTGTCATCTTATGCAAAGGACAAAAAACTATGCCATCTGAGTTACCTTCTGGGAAAAGGAGATTTCAGGGTGACCTTCTGGGATGAAGGTTTGTTAACCTTTTGTTCTTAACTCTTCACTAAATGCTCGTGACTTGTCCATCTGCAGAGAAATGCCATGCAGAAAATGGTTTCTGGTTTTGTTGGTGATTGTTTTGTTTTGTTTTGTTTTTTTTTAATCCACCTTTCATTCATCCGCCATCATATCCCTTGTCCCACTTTCTGGTAGCATATGTGTTGTTAACAATAAAAATCTGGATTTGCTTGTTTGTTTGCTCTTAAAAGGAAAGGTATTATAGCTTTTTTCCTGACTTCTTGTTTTGTTGGGGATTTTGATGCTGTTTGCTCTGCTTTTTCCAGTTGGTCTGGTAGCATCTCCAGATGGAAGAGTTGAGTCAGAGCAGCTGAAGCATTGCAGAGTCAGAGCAGTAGGATAACAGATGGGTGAATGCCTTGTAAATACTTCTAAATGATGTTAGAACCTTCTACATACCTTTCATAAGAGCCCAGTAAGAACAGTGTTCTGGAGGTGCCAGTACTTACTGGAAAGGCGAGCCTTGGCTTACCTTCCATTTTGACCAATTGCTGATAAAGTTTTATTACAGTCTCACTGGCACTTTTTTGAGGTGGTCCCTAAGAAGATGGAACAGTTTAGGTTTTCTTTTCTGTTCAGTGTTTGTGAGTGTCCCTAACTAGTCACCCACGTGCACTCATAACCCCGCTAAATGCCGTTACCCTCAGTGATTGCCATAGGTTTGCTTTAAGCTGACAGGTGGCGTTCTATAATGAAGCTCAGATGCAAGTTTTCCATTAATGGAATATAACTAATGAGAGTACATGATACAGGCTACAAGTTCAGTTGAACAGCTGGAGAAGAAATCTAGGGTTGCTGTAGTCCTCTTTGCATTGATGACTTTCTTAGCCACTGAGGGCTTGTCTTCTTGAGAAAATATAGCACTTAATTCCGGAGTGACATTTTAAATTGACATAACTAAGCTTGTGCAAAAATCTGTGTGGATATTTAGGCTATATGGTTAAAAGCAGTTACGTGACTGGCTTTGACGCTGTGGTTTGCCCTTAGCCCAGCCAACTTCACATGAAATGTTAGATTAAGCTACTGAGTAGCTTTACATGCATGGATGTGATCAATCAACATTCCTGTTACTGACGGGCAGCTTCCTGAGTAGTCGCTCAGGCTCAAGTGTTCTTCAGTCATATCCTCAGTTTGGTTTATCCCACATGTATTGGGAAATCTCATAGCTGAAGTATTCCTTTCCTTATTAGTGAAGTAAGTGACAATACAGCAGTTGTCTGAGGATTTTCTAAATCGGACTTTTTTTTTTTCCTTCCTTTGTGCTAAATTGGTACAACTTCTACATGTAGTCATACCTGAATGCTTATCTGTCAGTTTTCCTAGCTGAAGAGAAAGACCTATCAAAGATTTGTTCAACTGTACAGAACAGAAGCTAATAGAAAGATGCATGTGCAAAGATTCATGCTTAATTGAATCAAGGGGAGGGACAACAATGGAGCTACACAAGGCAGCTTTGCATCAATCATCAAGTAGCAAAGAGTCTGTTTGAAACAGTTGTTGATAATGAGTAGATGTGCTGTATCTGCTCTGGGTTACGTTAACCATAGCCATTTCACTGCCACCTCCTCCTCAGCATGCCCACTGACCCCTTTGTTCCTACAACCTGTTTGCCTTGTTATCTCCTGAAGTCCTAATCTCTGTCAAGCAGGAACTTTCTCTTATTAAATGTTTGTGCAAAGTCTAGCATGGTGGAGTCTTGATCCTTCCTTGAAATTTTTCCATTCTGCTGTAAGCTAAACAGCAGCATATCGAAGATATGCTTCTCTCTGGGCCAAGAGTTTATCAAATGTTCTTCATTGTGGTGAACATCAACAGAAGAAACCAGCATTAAATGGAAAAACCCGACAGCTGATCTCTCGGGGCGTTAACAGTAGTTCCTGAAATGTTTCAACTCCCTCTTGGAAATGAACCTAACTCTGGCTTGCAGTTCTTTAGACATAATGACTTTGCAGATTGTGCTGTGTACACAAGTCTCTATTCAGATTTAGACATCTCCTGTGAAATTATATATCTTAAGATTAACATATTTTTTTCTCCTTTTTAGTTGTTTTTGATGTGTACAGAGACAGCAGGGTAAGTCAACAATAGGTTGTATCTAATTGTTTATTCTGTGGAAACTCTTCCTGAAATGCTACAGAGATGAAGCAAATAGCTTCATCTTCCTAGAAGTGGTCCTGGCAAAAAAACCCCCAAAAAACCAAAACCAAAAAAGCCCCAACCAAACAACAAAAAACTACTTAATGTTATCATTCTGTTTCCCAGCTCTTTTTCTATGTTAGACACTTTCTATAGTAGGAGAATAACAGGATTAGGGGTGTAAATATGTCTGTGCCAGTGGTGTAATCACTTAGTATATATCTACCAGAGAAGAAGAAGTAACTCTGCAGCATTGAACCAGGTTGTGCCGTTGGGTACTCTGCCTCACAGCTGAGGCATGAAGACAGATTATTTAAGTAAAAGGTTTCAGCCTGTGTGATCTCAAATGAGCAGTGTTTCTTCATCTGTCAAGATAAAATATATCTGTTTGTAGATACCTCTTGGTGCCTTCTACCCTCAGGTCTTGTAAACTGCCAGATAGCCCTTTGTGTGTCAGATCCTCCTCCTTTCACACATACTTCTGTGGTTTGCAACTGTATTATTCATTGCTCCCTTTGTATCTGAGTTATAGGCAGCAAAAGACTGTTGCCAGTGTGATTAATTTCCAGAGCCTGTGCTTCTCCTCAGGCTCGTTGCACGGCAACCTCACCTGCTGAATTAGAGAAATGTCCAGTGTCTGCTTATTTTAAATTCTTTCAACTCTAAATATTCAGCTTGGAGAAGGTTGTTCTTTGGTATGGTTGTGAATGAGAGCAACCCCGTCCCCGTGCTTGCTTTAGTTACTTGAGAGACTGTATGGAGGAGGCTGCCACAAGTCCTGCTCATTGACTTGGAGGGTGGCATAGAAGCAGATGTGGCCTAGTAGAGAACAAGCTTTTATGTGTCCGCCTTTCCTGTTACACTCACTTCACCAAGCTCATCTGAGCTAGTGCCTGACTTTGCAGACAAGTCACATTTTAAATAAGAAACACTGTCATAGAGTCTTCCAAGCTGGATGATCTGGAGACCTAGTCCTGAAGAGGTTTTGTTGCAGGACTGGTAGCCTGTTTTTGTTTGGATCCACTTCTGTTTTTTTGCTGCTAGCAGTTCACAATCATTGTGCAACAGCTGACAAGCCTGAGAATCAGCTCTGTTGTTGCTCTTTGTGTATCTCCCAGATATAACCATGAACTTGTAACCATGTGTTAAGTCACTGTGGTAAGACAAAGAAATGCAGTGAGTGGCTCCAGACCACTGTTAGCTCACAGCTGCTCGTGTTGAGGTGCAAACTAGTACTTGTGTCTCTGCCTTGCAAGCATTGTCACTGTGCATGAAGGTGCAGCCGGAATTAGGGAGATGTAACAGTTCAGTTTGCATTTTATCGATCTTTTAACTTCCTTTAAACAGTCTTTGTCATAGGCACTTCCTTTCAGCAGCATGTTACTTAATGCTTTTGTAAAACAAAGCATGAAGCTGCCATAATGTGATAGATCTGTTGATTCCTGTGTTAAGGTGAGAAAAAAAATCTTATGTAATACAGGTTGGGGTTTTTTTCCTCTCGAGATATGCACAACTTCGCCTTACTGGCTGTGCATTTCTGTGCTGTCATATGACAAAGATTACTAATTCCAGGAGATGGCAGATAAATAGCTTTACTACTGCTCTTTAGATACACAGTTCAGGTAATCTGAAACTACATTTAAATCATGGCATTGCATGTAAGACTTGAAAGAGCATTTAATCTTAAGAAAAGATAGTTTGGTTACTGACCCAGAGTTGCGTACACTCCCTTTAATGAGCCCTGAAAAGGGATATTTAGTTTGTTTTGCCACTTTTCATCAATTTACAGCTACCAAAGCTCAGTGTAGATTTAAGACCATCTCAAGGAAAGAGTTGGTGTTGTAGATGGTATACTGCTGTCTGCAGGGAGGCAGAAATACTGCTGAGTGCTCACAAAAAACAGATGTTGCTTTCAGTAGTCTCAAAACCAATTTTCAGTTTTTTCCAGAGTACACTTCTTCTCTAGAGAAATGATCTTGAGTTCTTATGAAAAAGCGGAGTTTCATGTGCTTGGGGTAAGGAAGAGTCTCCATGAAAGCTTTTCATAGGGAAATCCTTTATTAAGTATAAACATTTCTGATGCAAGGAAAGATTCTCTGAACTGCTGAATGAACTTTGCCAGCCATTGCTTCTGTCTGTGATTAAATTGTTTCATTAGCTTGTTTTTCTAGTGTGGTAGAATGGATCTAAAATTATAAATTCTTCCTTCTGCTGCCTTGGAGCTAACAAGATGTCCCCATTAGCAAAAGTAAAACATCACTTATAATGAGAATTTGTGACTGCCTTTTGAAGAGGAACAGAGATGGAAAATGATAGCAGAGCTTGCCCTGCTTGCTCTCTGTAAGGATGGTGTCGTTATTGGTGCACAGGTGTTCCAACTTAGCCATGGAGATCTGTGCTTCTTCACCCTTCCAAAACAAGTAAGAAGCCACTCAAGTCAGCATCCCCGCAATTTGCAGTTTCTTTTGTAGCCAACTAGTTTCAGCACCGCTGTTGTGGTATGTTGGATTCTTACAGTATGCTCTTTGAGAGCTCTACCCCATGGATCTGCTCCGAGAGACCTGTGAAAGCCTGTGTGCAACCACATGCTCACCAGGCAGGGTGCTGGCTCAGTTCCAGTTTACAAGTAATATCACTGGTTTCATCTGTGCTGGGACTCCCCCCACCTGCATGAGTAACTCGCTATGGATGATAACAGACCAGCCACAACATTTCTGTTCTCTATTGTATGGGTTTCCATGCATTTCCTATTCTATAGTGTGTTAGTGCCTGTGGGGGTGGCTTAGGTAGTGTGGGTGGGAGAGGAAGTCTCCATGATACTCTGTGACTGAAGGTTTCAAAAGCAGCTTTGTAAGTTATAAACCAGATGGCTGTAGTGTAAATCATTGAAGATATTTGCTGTTTGTATCAAGATAGGGAAGATCTTTTAAAGAAAGAAGGTCCTTCAGGAATGAGTGAAAGAAAGAGAAAGCAAAATAAGTTTTTACTAGCTGCACAGTGTTTAGGTTTGGTTTCCAATTCCAGTTGATCTTTAATAAACACAATAAAGCCCTTCAGTCCTGCTTATGTTACAGCAAACTTTTTCTTTCCATATTTGATAGATCTGATTTCTTCCAGATGTAATACTTGTTTTGCAAATTCTTACTAGCAGTTGTAGTCACACTTCATTATACTTTGTAATAATAGTTTTGTTTTATTAGAATAGATGACACTTTCTTGGGTAAGAAAAGATGGCGCTGTGCTGGGGGTTGTATCTTGAGATGACTCAAGGAACACAAACTATTTCTTGCTCCCCTGCAGACATCTCTGTTACCTTTGATATGTCTTGTTAGTCTCTCTGCTTTCATTTTTCAGTTGTGAAACGGGCATGCTGTTGTGCATACTGCCAGAACTGTTTGGGACACAAATGTGTTAAAGATGAGGCAGGAAGACTACTAGTAATGGCGATATTAAAAATGCCTTTAAGTTATTCTTTATTTATCTATATGTGTGCAGCACTTTTCGGCTTTCATGATCTCCACTAGCATTTTGCAGACCCTGCTCCGTATTTTTGGAGTCCCTTCTGAGACCAGTTCTTGTATACTGCTGAATGTACAGCCCTGCTGAGGTGGCATTTGATGGAAAGCAAAATCTCTGTTTGAGTGGGGTTTTGGTTTTTATTTTTTGGTTGTTTTTTGTTTTATCCCCCCCCTGCCCCCCCCATTCCTTGTTCATGCTGCCTGGGGATCTTGGAGGACCATGGAGATTAGACAGAATTTCTGTCTGATCTTCTGT